CCTGGCTGGCCAGCAAACCCCGGAGCTGCCCTTGTCTCTGCCTGTCTGGATTACAAGCAGGCATCACCAGGCCTGGCCTTTTGAAATGTAGATTCTGGGGAATGAACTCAGGTCCTTGTGTTTTCAAGGCAAGCCCTTTACCAGTTGAGCTCAGTCCCAGCCCTGAGCTACACAGCTTTTAAAGCTACACTTACCTCTTGTTGCATGACTTAAATATACACAGGACAAGAGGCTTATGGGACATGTCCCGGGTACCTGGTCAATAAGGACTCCCAAAGATCTAGACCTTCCTGTCCCCTTCCCTCCCAGGAGCACCTGTGGGTCTGCAGCCCGGCTTTAAACCTTCCTGTCCCCAAATCGCTTCTTATGCTTGAATATGTATTTATTTTTCTCTCTTGTTTCTCTTCCGTTTTGTCAATTTATGGACATAATACAAAAACTGGAACAAATTAGGAAAAGAAGCGAACTGCCTCCCTCCTCAGATGAGCAATTACACAAAACCTGCCCTGATGTCAGGTCAGTTAACATGAGAGACTGGATCTGGGAGGCCCCTGTCACTAACAAGAGAGGACTGCACACCCTCACTTCCGCTCGCTCGTGTCCTCTAGTGGAGGCAGCTGCTGCAAGATGGCAAATAAAGGAGATCCATGCACACTTGCTGGGAGAGAAGACGCCCACTGCCCTCGTAAGCAACAACAGTGCAGACGGAGTTCACGAAGAGCTAAGCACACCCGGCCTGGCATTCAGGAAGGGCGTGGGCTCCAGGTCGCCAGAGTCACCTGTGGCTGGATGTGGTCTAGGGTTTGAGTAGGAAACAGCGCAAAGTGGCAGCCGAGTTCTGTGCATTTGTTTTGATGGTGCTGGCATGGATGTATTTGTTTGCCCAAATCCGCTAGACTTAACATTTAAATGGGGTGTTTTACGGAATGTAGACTGCACAGCTCTCAGTGCCCGGCAGCCAGGGCCACGCCACCAGTCACCTGGTGGTAAGACTACTGAAGAGAGCATTTACTTATGTCATTGAAAATACAAAAGTCAAGCTGGTGTCAAACTAGAAGCTTCCCCCTACTTCCTAGCATTCATGGTGTGAATCTACTGCATGCTACTCAATCCCCTGTTCCCTGCTCCTTGCCAAGCCCTGCCATTCTTCAGCCTTTGGCTTCAAAGGACAACTGGCTGGTTCTCCACACAAGCCCCTTTGCCCCTTTGTCATGTGTATTTGGTGCCACCTCGTGGACAGAAAGCATAAAGCCCAATCCAAAAGTGGTTTCCTCATGTGTTGCCTCGAGTCTGGGTGTGGAGAAACCAGTGCCACCAAGTTTTGTGGGCTTGGATCAATCTTGCATCCCACGCAGAGCTGCTGATTCCAGAGAGAGAGACATGGATGTTGAGTTCAGTGTCAGGTGGAGCACACTCAGGTGCGTCCCAACAGCCTGAGTTTCTGCCATCTCTGCACACTATTATCTCCTGCTTTGGGGCACATCATGCTGAGCTGGACCGACATGGTCATCAGAGGCCTCAGAGCATCAGGAACCCAGGTGGTTTGGGGACCTGAACTAACAATCAGTATGTCTGAGGCAGACAGTGGCTAAGCCCAACACCAGTTCCTTCCTGTCCACCCACAGGCTCATGGGTTTGAACACTGGGTTCCCAGCTACTGGTACTGTTTTGGGAGACTGTGGAGCCCTCCGGACATGGGCACAGCTGGCAGATGTAGACCTCTGGCTTTTTATCCCGGCTCTGCTTCCTTCTGCCGCCATGATGCCTACCCTCTTCAAGCTCCCTTTGCCACAAGTTGAGCTACAATGGCCCCATACCTTCCTTTACCCCAAAAGGACTGCATCCCTCGGTGAGACGGATGAGAACCCCTCCCTTGGGATGCTTTGCTTTGTTGACAGTGACGATGTATTGAATATCCACACCCTCTGATTTTAGATCAGGAAAATTTAGAAAAGGTGCCATAGTACAGTCTCTTTACATTTCAGAAGGAGGAGGAAGACGGAGAGCCGGGGGTGGGGTGTCACAGTTCCATGTTCTGGGGTTGGCATTGGGCCTTGGGATTTGGGGGTCAGGTGGAACCCAATGGGACTGCTTTAAAGGAGATTAGGAACAACTGCATCTCTTCCCACTTCCGTTCAGGTTGGAAGGATGTGTTTGTGCCTCCAGAAACTGACGGGAGTCTCAGACAATAGCTTTTCATCTTGCCCTGGGTGAAGTATCTGAGAAGTTCAATGTGACCCTTGCATATTGTCTGGATCTTTTCCACCTATGAGCCTTCCTTCTGGAACTGCCCTGGAGGGAGAGGATGTATTCTAAAGTGACACAGTCTCTCCCTTTAGCTGTCTTGACTATTGAAACTACAGACCCTAAAAAAACTGAAATTTTTCCCCCAGGGATCTCAGGCCAGGGAGGTGCCAGCCAGGGTGGGGAAGTTTGTCACCCCAAAAGAGCTTTCACACACTTCTATAAACTTGTCAGGCCATCTTGCAGGGAATCCTGGAGCCCGGACATTGGTGGGCCAATGGTAAGGAAGACAACATCTTGACCAGGACTCCTTAGCTAGGCATAGCTCTTGCCCTGTATTAAAACCTAACCTCAGCCGGGTGGTGGTGGTGATGATGGCGGCGCACGCCTTTAATCCCAGCACTGGGGAGGCAGAGGCAGGCGGATCTCTGTGGGTTCGAGGCCAGCCTGGGCTACAGAGAGAGTTCCAGAAAAGGCACAAAGCTATACAGAGACACCCTGTCTCGAAAAACCAAAAAAACAAACAAACAAACAAACAAAAAAAACCTAGCCTCTTGTCAGTGCCCTGAAGACGGGCATCACAGCACCTCTTCTCTATCTGCTCTTCTTCTCAAGGTGGCTGCAGTGATGAAGTCCCTTCCTGTGCTTTTCACTGATGTGTCTCTCTGATAGGTGTATTGAGGAATAGTGACTGAGTCTGGCCAGGAACCCAGGGCCATCCTTTCCCCTTGAACCACCTGCAAGTATCCATTTCCATTCTCTCCCATTCTCCTCCCCCTTGCCGTAAGAGCTAGTGGCGTTGTCTGGGCTTTCCTTGTGATCTGCTTTGCACCTAACTCTCATGTTGTCAACAGGACAATGCTATCGGCTGGATTGTAGCCTCACCCATTTTGGCAAGTGTCCATGGCTGGATGTGTATTTTCACAGAGGCAAAGAGAGACCTCCAAGGTGGATCGAATTTTGTTTTAATGGTGTTTTTGTAAGATGTGTGACACGGACACACACAGAGAGACTAACAACCATGTTAGGGCAAAGAAGGAAGAAAACCCATCTACGGAGATGGCTCAGTCAATGAGTGTTTGCTACGTGGGCACGTGGGCCTGAGTTCAAGTCTCAGCCCCCACACCACACAAAGCTGGGCACAGTGGTGCTCGCCTGTACACTCAGTGCTGGCGAAGTGGAGAGGGGATCGCTGGGGCTTGCTGGCCAGCCCAGTTAGCTGAATCAGAGTCCCAGGTTCAGTGAGAGAGACTCTGACTCAAAAAATAAGGTAGAGAGAGACTGAGAAAAAACACTGAACTCTGGCCTCCACACATGTGTGCACACATGCATGTGAACCTACAAATACACATACATACACACACCTAAACACACATACATACACAGAGAGAGAGAGAGAGCACAAGAGAGAATTATCTGTAAGCCATCAAGAGAAGACTCTAATGATGCAAACTACTCTCACCTTGACCTTGGACCTTGTCTTGACCTTGGACCCTAAATGGCCTTTCAACATGAGCTGCAACTTCCATTCTTCCTTGGGTCTGCAGCCTGCCATGCAGAACTCAGACTTGGCAGCCTTGACTACGTCATGAGCCAATTCCTAGAAATGTCTCTGTTTAGATGTATATCCTATTGGCCTCCTCTCTATGGACAACCCTCTCTAAAAATGCATACTCCAAATTAAAGCCTGAAATCCCTCACAGTTCATGCCAAACCCACTGCCAGGTTCTCAGGGTGGCATTCAGAGGCCTCCAGGCTCCAAGCACGGTCCACATTGCTTTCTTTGAATTACTGTTTGATGAGCTTATTAACAGTAACATTTACTGAAAACCAACTAGTAAGCAGAAGCCCCTCCCCCATGGTTTGGAAGTACCAGCTGGAGGTTGAAATGCAGGCTGGACTAAAGGGCAATAATTCACCTGATCTCCCTAAGGCTCAGCTTCTTTACCAGTAAAGTGGAAAACATCCACTCACTGACCCTACAGGTAGTTCCGGAACAATCCCCAGCCATAGGGACGTCTCTATGATGTTGTTTTTCCACTACTGGAGGCCTCTGACTTGCACTTCAGGTGGTTTTTTCACTGAGAAGATGGGTGGAGAGCTTTAGGGAGGGTGCAAAGCTGGCATTTTATCTAAGCCATTGGGGCCCGGTGAAAATAAATGTGAGTGGGTCTCTGTTCAGAGTGGATTTAGTGACTGGGTGTTGCTGTGATAAAACACCATGACCAAAAGCAACCTGGGAGAGGGATGGGTTTGTTTGGATCACATCCCAGGCACAGTCTGTCATGTCAGGAGGGCAGGGCAGGGACTCAAGCAGGAACCTGGAGGCAGGAACTGAAGCAGAGGCCATGGAGGGATGCTGCTTAATGGTTCTCCGGGGTTTGCTCAGCCTGCTTTCTTATAACACCCAGGACTACCTGACTACAGTGGGCTGGGTCCTCATATGGAAACCAGAGGTAAACCCTGGGTGTTAATCCTCAGGAGGCACCTGCCTTATTTTATTACACAAGTTCTCCATTGGCCTGGAGCTTGCTAGACTAGCTGGCCAGTGAGCCCCAGGGATTAGCCTCTCCCCACCTCCCTGTGGGACCACAAGTGCACACCACCATGACTTGCTGTTTCACAAGGTCTTGGGGGGTGGAACTCAGGTCTCCACATCCACACAGCAAGCACTCATCTCCTTCATGTTCTCCTCACTGAGTACAAAGTAAACCACTGTAACCACTTAAGAGTAGATCAAAGCCACTAAGCCAACAGACAAGCTATAAAAGGTTTATTAAAAAATAGACAACATATGTAAACATTTTTGTCAGCCACAGGCTTCTGAATATAGCGTATCAGCCCCCAGCTGTCAGTCTCTGCCGTGGGAGGGGAAAGCCCAGTATGGATTAACAGGAACCAGATTAAAGGATCCCCCAGTTTGCTGAGGTCTAGAGAAAATGAACAGCCAGGCTCTGCCAGGTGTGCAGCATGCACAGAAAACCACAGGTGTGCCCTCAGCGACCCTCGGCGCAGGTAACCCCCAGCAACAGTGAGTCAGACTGACTCCTTATATTGAAATGATCGTTTTCGCATGGCTTCATTTCTAAATTCATCAGAGTTGAACAGAATGACGGGAAGGGAGGCTGGAACACAGAGTGGGAAAGGGCACGGTGGAAAGACAGACACAGCTAACAGGCCCAGTTCCACCATCTCCATCACCTGCACACCCCACGCATGGGATGCTGGGACAGGAGCAAAGCTAAGTTCTGTATTTAAAAACCATTTCCGTATTTCCCTTCCATGCCCTGGGTATTTGGGATATCTCTTTAAATTTTAGTTTCCCTTCAAATGATTGGTTGAAAAGAAGCAGCCCACTGGCCTATCCAACGTGACAAATGTCGAGCAAACCACATCCCTCTCACACCATTTAATAACAACTGAGGAGAAGCAGAATCGGAGGGCAGAAAACAACAGAACAGGTCTGGTGAAAGCCTGAGATTTTGCTCCACGCATCTGAAACCTTCTGCCTAGAGCCAGCAATGAGATCTCCCTGCAGGTCACCTGCTCACAAACCTGTATGTGACTCAGATGTCATGCACCTGATATCATTCCCTTCAGATTTCTGTCATTATTTGATAAACTAAGACACAACTTTAAATAAAACACCTTTAAATGAAAGGGTTATTGATAATTTAGTTTCCTGCTGTGTGTCACACTTTAAATATTTACTGCCTGTCCCTCAAATAACTAATTCTGGTGACAGAAGGGGATTATGGTAGTCACAAGACCCAGGCAAATTCACCAAGCTCCAGAAAAGCCACCCCTTCTCAACAATGTGGCACTCTATTTGTGAAATTATGAAAGTGATACATAAATAACTTGAAGTTGTTTCCAATCCCACCTACTATCCAAAGACACTTTTTATTTTTATTTTTTATTAGTAGTTTCTTTTTTGTTTTTTTTTTTTCTTTTGTTTTGTTTTTCAAGACAGGGTTTCTCTCTGCCTGTCCTGGATCTTGCTCTGTAGACCAGGCTGGCCTTGAACTCACAGAGATCCACCTGGCTCTGCCTCCCGAGTGCTGGGATTAAAGGTATGTGCCACCACCACCCGGCTCAAAGACACATTTTAGAAGTGCTTCCAGAAATCATAGTGTCTTCCTGCCATGCCTGTTCAGCCCCACAGATGCCCAAGTTTACTCGGAGTTAAATGAAATGTGAAATGGCTCAAAGTGGACCCCCCCACACACACACAAAAGTCCTGCCATCTCCTGCGCTGGCAGTGTGGTTAGTGCCGGGAAAACTGCAGGCTCAGAGAAAAATAAAATCACACAATATGTATGTCCACAGCACATAGGCTCTTCAAACACAGCTAGCCATGGATAATTTAATTTTTAAAGACTCGGCTGCAGCGTGAAGAAATTTCCCACCTCTGGCTACTAATGAAGGAAGAGACGGTTTCTGCAGGGAAACCTACAGAGCAGCCTTGTGCAGGGCACAAAATGTGATGATGGCCAAACAGTAATTCCTGATCTCAGCTGATGCTTGGCAATTACTGCTGAGCTCTGAATCTGAAACATCTTCCATGGGCACACGTTTGGTCCTCAGGTCGTGGTACTGTTTGGGGAGGCTACAGAAACCGGGGAGAGAAGTTCAGTGAGGGTGCATCCTTGCCTGTTTCGGCTTGCTGTCCACCATGGTGTGAGCCACCCAACCAGGTCCTCCCTCCTCAAGGCTGAATTGATCCCTCTGAAATCATGAACAAAATAAGTAATCCCCCCCCCCTTTAAGGGTATTTTAGTCACGTGACACAAAAATAGCAATATAGTTACATTCAATAAAACTTTAAAAAAATATTTTGACTTTTAATTATGTGTCTGTGTGGTGGCATATGCATGTGTGCAGCTCCCGTGGAAGCCAGGAGAGGGCATTAGATGCCCTGGAACTGAAGTCACAGGCAGTCGTGAGCCATCTGACGTGGGTGCTGGGGACTGAATTTGGGTCCTCCAACAGAGCTATATGCATGCTCAACTGTTGAGCCATCTCTCCGGGCCTCAGTAAAACTTTTATAAGTTACATTTAGTAGAACCTCCTGGAAGAGGATGGTCTGTGAATTCAGGAGTCAACTGGACATACTCTCACATTACAAGGCCACTGCTTTCTCTGGGTAGTTTAAATAGGACTCCAGATTAACTCCAATCAATAGAACCCTTTTCCCTTCTATAAATAAATATCTTTACTTCCTAACATCACATTATTATTGCCAAGACATGAATAGCCATTTCTTGGCTTTTATTGTACAAAAAACAAACAAACACCCAAAAGGACAAGAAAAGAGAACAAGGATGAGGGGAGGAAGCGAAGAGGGTTGGTCACTGCAGTTTTGCCGTGTCCCGGTGGGCAAGACACCCACGAGAACGAAGCGTGGAAGCTGGCCACGATGACCCCACCTCAGCTGACTGAACATCTGTGCATTTCAAGTCACTGGGTAACTAGCATCCAGTGGACATAATATGGACAGCCCACGGCAGTCACTGGTACACCTCAGAGTCACATCTGCCACTAGCCTCTTGGGCCACAAGTGTGAGCCACGGCACAAAGGCACAGTGCCTCATTGTGTCCACCTCAAATGGTAATGCTGGGAGGGCAAAGGCACTCAGGTCAGAAAGTCTTTCTCCAGGGCATAGATGGACGGCTGGCACGTCACACTCCTCACTCTACACAAGGATGTGGCACAGTCCTTCCTCTGACCTTCCACATTGGCGTCCAGTAAGGAAGGTGCCTGGCACCTGCTTCTCTCCTGGGCACCAAGGAGACAGGCAAGGGCTGGTACTGCATGTTCCATGTCACAGGCCCAGACGGGAGGAGATGCTGTCCTCAGCGAAGGAGTATGTGAACTTTGTGGTGCAGCAGGGCATGTCTGATGCTTGGCCAGAACACCTTGGGGTTTCACAGGAGAGTCCTGGCTTGCCAGCTCACTCTGAGGGCCAGGCGAGGCAGAGTGTGGTGGTCCAGAGTCTCCATGGGCACCTGTGAGTGAAGACAGACAGACAGACAGTACACAATGAAAAGACAGACTCTGAAGTAATGAGTGAAGGGAAAGATGACGTCTATTCAACCAGATGACGGGTTGCCTAGAGTTTCAACACTGTAATTACACAAACCTTTCACGCTGGGGTATGTTTTCCTTAGTGAAAATATGCCATTAGAACAGGAAGAGGACTTCACCCTATGGAATTCCTCCAGCCATTTCACCCGGCCTCCCCCATAGCTAGGATGTCAGACATGAGCCACCATGTCCCATTCAAATGGCTTTCCATAGCCACAGCTTCAGAGAATACCTGTATGACATTAATGTAACTAATCACAGCAGCACTGTGCACTTGATTTTTACCACACTCCTAACCACGGGAGAGGTGACATAAGGTTATTAGTAGACAGACATGTTACAGTGATGTGCCCAAAGCCACAGACAGCAAACCTGAGCACAAACTTCTACACAGTTAACTGTGACATCACCATGACCTGTGCATGGTATGTGCAAGTGTGTGTGTGTGTGTGTGTGTGTGTGTGTGTGTGTGCATGCGTGCACACATACAAGAGGTCAACTCCAGGCATGTCCACCTATTTTCAGAGACAGCATCTCTCACTGACCTGGGATTCACTGACTTGGCTAGACTGGTTGGCCAGCAAACCCCAGGCATCCTGCCTGTCTCTGCCCTATCAATTCTGGGATTACAGGTCTGCACCACCACACCCATCCTTTTGATGTGGGTTCTGGAGATTTGATCCAGGCCCTGTTATATGTAGAGCAAGCATCTTACTCACAGAATCATCTCCCCAGCCCTAGAGATGAGGGAGGGGGGGTCCCCACAGGTGGCTAAGTTAAAATAAGTCCACATGGGCAGGGCCCAGTGTAGTCTGACCCTGGGCCTTTAAGATCCAGACACAAACACACCCAGAAGAACCACCATGTCAGGACCCAGGGAGAGGGTGTGAGCAAGCCCAGGGGAGAGGCCTAAGGAAGACCCAGCACTGCCCACACCGTTGCCTTGAAGTCCACCCTCAGCACAGTGGGGAAATGGGGTCTAGGGTTCAAGCCATTCCAGCTGTAGCCTTGTTAGACACCAACCACCAATCACAGAGATGACAAGACCTCAGTCCCAACACAACCACAGCGTGTGACCCTGGAATGTCTCAGGGAGGCCTGAAGATACCTTTTGGTTAGCATTGGGGATAGAGGGTTAGGATTAAGGATGGAGTTCGGGTTTAGAGACAAGGCTTAGTGGCCAGGATTAGGATTAGCGTTTCAAGTTAGAGGTTAGTGCTTGGGATTAGTGTTGAAGGTTATGGCTAATGCTTAGGGTTAGGGTTAGGGTTAAATGTTCAGGGTTATGGTCAAGTGTTTGGGGTTAGGGTTAAATGTTCAGGGTTGTGGTCAAGTGTTTAGGGTTAGGGTTAAATGTTCAGGGTTATGGTCAAGTGTTTAGGGTTAGGGCTAGGTGTTTAGTGCTAGGATGGGTGGTTTAGGGTTAGAGTTAAATGGCTGTGGTTTGGAACTATGGTCAGCTTTTCTACCGTCTACTTGCTGGGATCTGGCCTTAGTGACCCTTCTCTGTCCCCAGTTTGATGTGTCATTCATCACATGCTTTGTGCTTACATGATCTTATAATCTGAAGTTACTAGATCCCAATCAAGCCTCTTCTCAGAATCTAAATTTAGTAATATTTAAGATTATAACAATTAAGAATAACACTCAAGATCCACTTGAACAATATTAATTGAAATCATTAGAAAAAGGAAAAAACTGTCCAATCCACACTCCTCTACCCTCTGCAATGTTATCTGCACTGTGACCCGAATTTTGCCACCTACCTTGAGGCAGGAATGGAGTTTCTTTGGATCCCATCCATGCATGATGGCATTCTTTGTCTCCTACAGTAGCACAGGCTGGCAGCTTCTCCCCTGTCTGCTCCAGTAGGGCAGGTGACATGCCTCTCAAGATACCATAGTCATTCTTAAGTCTTGGTCCAGGGATGAGTTCGCAGCTGCTTTCTGGGGTAGCAGAACAGGGTTCTGGAGTGAGCATTGTGGGACCACAAGAGATCTGAGTGATCCCCAAAGATGGCTCCTCTTCATCAGCCTGCAGCAAGCACTTCGTGGAGAGAGAAGACTTCGAGGAAAGGCTTGTGGCACTTGGTGCCAGGAGAGAGGGGTCATCACTGGATGCCCTGCCTGCAGATGGCTGTCTCAGAAGTGGACTGGTACTTGTTTGGCATTTAGAGACCCACTGAAGAGTGCCTTCTGGCTTCTTTCCCTCTTTGAGTGATGGCTTTTTGGGGGCCTGGGTTCTGTGTAGTTTCCTGACATCCAGGCCCAAAGCCAGCGATGCCAACAGCACCCCACACTCGTACAGAGCAGTCTCTGTTCTCTTCCTCAGCGTGGGTGCACCCACGTTGTTCACTGGGGAACCTTTAGAGGGTTCCTCCTCCCGACTCTCAGCCTCTACGGGGTGCTCTCTCTGGCTGTCTTTGCAAAGAGGCAGACCAACATAGGCCTGGCCAGGGATCTTCATCTGCTTTGGTTTTCTATGTTCCAATCCATCAGGGACAAGTTTCAGCTCTTCGCAGGATCCTAAACAAAGGCACACATGTAAACACTGCAGAGCTAGGGCATAGCAAACACCACCATTTACCTGTGTACATACACACTAGAATCCATGAAGCATCAAGATATAAACACACACACACACACACACACACATCACCACACTAAACCAAAGCACGCAGAGGCCTTTCAGTAGGAGAACTCTGGTGTGAAGAGTCCAGACCCTGGCATGCAGGCCCGCACAGGTTGTATGCTTTCTGCCCTTTGGGAAAGTGTTTCTCATCAATATAGATGACAGAAATTAGTGTGGCGACAGAAGCGTCAAGATATAAACACACATACACACACAGAGTTGCACAAAATGTACACATTTCATTGCTTCACCAAAGTGCACAGCCCTTGTCCACTGCTCATTTTGCATACCATCTGCTACACAGCACTTCAAGGATTCCCAAGTGTAGCACCTAAACCAGTGGCAACTAGTGGATAGTAGATATTCAAGTTCTTGTCAGACCTGGCACAAAATTGAAAGTCCTGGTGTGAAGACAAGGCTGCATTATGACAGGCCTGTCCCAAAGTTGGGACTAGTACAATGAGGTATGAGGAGGTGAAACTCCAAAGAAGTTGGAGCACCTTGGAGGTCGTCACCAAGTGCACTGGCTAAGGAGAAGGGTGAAGCTCTCATGTGTGCAGGAGGTGACAGCAACCTCCTTGTGTTGGGCTCCAAGGTGAGCCACAACACAACTGCCTTGTTCCCCAGAGTGGTGTTCTCTGACACCTAAACCCGCTCTCATCAAGACAGCCAGTCTCTTCAAGACGGTCTCAAGACAGTCGGCAGGACACTGGCTTCTATCTGCACAAACCTGTGTTTCCCATGAGCTCTCTGCTCATGCAGCCCCTTTTCCTCTGCTGACTCCCCCTTCAGCGCTGTTCACCAAATCCCTTGCTTATTAAAAGGATCCCTCAGAGAAGGGGACACGCGGGTGAGCAGAGCACCCAGCATACACTCAAGGCATGCACCTCCAGATCTGCTGAAACGTTTCGATGTTCTCACAGTATGAAAAGGTCCTCGTAAACACATGGGTATAAAAGACCAGCTCTCTTTACTACCAACCATCTTTGAAGGTTTACAATGGTTTCATCTCTTGAACTCAATCTACACTGAATACAGCCCAGCTCACCCTTAACCAGGCCAATTCCCACCCACGCTAAACTCACCTGGTCTATATGGTTAAGTGGGATACTTTTTTTTTTTTCTCCTAAGATACGGAGGTATGAACTCTATCTCCCCAAACACTTGGAGCACACGTCCTTAGTGCCATGAAGTCTGGATGCAAAATAACCTCTGGACTTAAGTAAAGCTCTAAAGGGCCTGTTGTTTGCCCCTTCAGTGACCTAAAGGACCATGTGAGATGATTTGGGGCCCTCCAGAGCTAAGAACACCCCAGCACATCCTGCTTTCTGGGACACGGTTACCTGGCTGATCCACAAACAATGAAGCCAAAGGTGTAGTTTTCTGACTTTTTATTAAAAGAGACGACCAAGGGCTGTTGCCATCTGAGAGAGGCCTGACCCTGCAAGAGAAAGACATTTTCGTTCATATCATGTAATGGAACTGCAGGACACTCAAACACAATAACTTTTAGCAATGTATTTTTTGTTATGTATATGTGGTGTGTGTGTGTGTGCGTGTGCGCATGTGTGTGCATGCACATGGTTGCTTGTGTGTGGTGCGTGTATGCGTGTTTGTGTGTGTACCACTGCTCCTGGGTGTGCCTGCATATGAAGGACAGACGTTGATGTTGTAAGTCTTCCTCAATTGCTCTCTGTTTTTATTGTATCAAGGCAGGGTCTCTCACCCATTCCGGCTAGTGCAGCAAGCCTGTTTGCCCTAGAGACCTGTAGTCTCCTCCTCTTGTGGGCCTGAGTTTACAGGCAGCTGCCACGCCTGCCAGCGTTTATGTGCATGCTGGAGATGAACGCTGGTCCTCGGGCTTGCCTGACAGCACTTGACCTGCTGAGCGTCTCAGCCCAGCAGCGATATTTTTAAAGATGCAAAGGGAGTACCTTTGTGCTTTTGAATTTTGAAGACCTAACAAAGTACAAATATAATCTTTAAAATATATTAGATATATTTATCTGTTTACATGCTTGAATATTTTGCCCAAATGTATGCATGCAAACCACATGCATGTCTGACTCCCACAGTGGTCAGAAGAGGGTGATGGATCCCCAGGAACTGGAGTTAGGGGTGGTTGTGAGCCATCAAGTTGGTGCTGGGAATCAAACTCCGGTCTTCTGCAGTACTGAGCAAACTTTCCAGCCCCACCCACCCCCAACACACACACACACACACACACACACACACACACACACACACACACACACAAATCATGAAATGATACATAAAAATGTCAAATTATTTACTGAACTAATAATCATTTCATAAAGTCCGTCCAACACACTGCAGAGTACTAAGTTACTATCCAGATGTCTCTGCATCTGTCTGATCGCTTCCCAGGAGGCAGGCCTAGTAGCACCGCCAAGCACAACAGCACTACTACCCCAGTGCATGCAGTGTGCCCCCTCTACACACACACACACACACACTCACACTCACATACCGCTCTCGGCCCTCTGGTTTTTCTTTCACTTGAATGGAGCTTGGTCCCCACGTACAACCTCTTTTCTTGAAATTCCTTTTCACATCTTCGAAGTCTTCTTGTCGGAAGACCACATTCCGCCCCCGGGGTTTATTGCTTTCATCTGAAGTCACTACATGGAGAACCATGGTTACATACTGATTTTACTAAAAAGTCCAAGAAGCCAGTCAGGTGCCTGACAGAAACTCATTCACCCATCTTGAAAAACTGCTTTTTGTATTCATTAAAAAAAATTTTTTTAAAAGTCAAGAAGACTAGAAAAAAGGGAATGAACACGGGAAACCTCACCCGGCCCGGACACGGACAGGATTGACAGATTGATAGCTCTTTCTCGATTCCGTTTAGGGACAGGGGATCCCCAACTAGTGTGGGAACCTGTCTCAAAGAAGGCAACAGACTGGAGAGATATCTCCGAGATTAAGAGCACTGGCTGCTCTTCCAGAGGTTCTTAGTTCAAGTTCCAGCAACCACATGGTGGCTCACAATCATCTTTAGTGGGACCCAATGCCCTCTTCTGGCAGAAAGGTGTACAAGCAGATATAGCACCATGCACATTAAATAAATAAATACTTTTAAAAAAAGAAAAGAAAAAGAAGGCAACAAGTGAGCACCCATATCTGACGATCTCCTCAGCCTCAACCACTCTAGCAGAAGACAGGGATGCTGTCTGATATGGCAGTGTCTTTAAGATGACCTGGACTCCTGGCTCTAGGTCCCCACTGCATTGAGGCAATGTCACATTTACAGCCAAGAGAGTGAGAGACTGGCCTAAGAGCCAAGACCAACTTCTTCGTGTTTTTCATTTTGTTTCATTTTCCCTTTCCTTCAGACAGTGTCTCCTGTAGCCCAGGCTGGTCTTGAACTCATTAGATAGTTGAGACTGTCCTTGATTTTCCTCTTTCCACATCCCAAGTGTTGGGATTATAGGAGTGTGCCCTACACTAGGCCCAAAGGTCAACTGTTATTTCCAGATCTTCACATTGTCTGTCCACCATCTCCCACTCACTCAGACCCACTGTAAGAGCACGGCCCACTCAGCGTGACCACGCGGCAGAGATAACACTGATGAGATGGGCCGCTGCACGGCGGGCAAACACTCACACTGGATAGCTCGGAGGCGGGGGAGCATCAAGGGGCTGCTGGGTGGGCTGCAGAGTCGGCTGTCTGAACTCCGGCGCTTGTCCAGGGTTGGGGAGGCCTGCACTGTGATCTTGTGCTGGAAATCTGAGGAAGAAAGAATCAGCTTTTCAGGGATTTACTCACTGTTCATGATTTCCTCACTGTTGTTTGTACAGTCATGAACAACAGAGTCATCAGCAACTCTTCCAGGCACTGGCTAATTTCTGAGCGCGTTTCTCAGGTGACCCTGTGCAACGTCTCCAAGACTCAAGTCAACAGAAATGACACATTATTCTGATAGGCACAAGGAGGCATGTGTTCATTTCTCTCTGTTCTTGACTGTGGATATGCCAGCTGCTTCCAGTTCCTGCCCTGAGTTCCCTGCACTGATGGATGGCCACCTGCTATTGGAGTCCCAAGGCTACCTCTGTGGGGACGCTTTACTCCAGAAACTTCATGTGCTGGCGGCCTGGGGAACAGGGCTAGATGAGGGTTAGGAATAAGTATCCAAGCCATACAACCTAGAGTGTGAGTGTCTCTTCCATAAGACACAAGTTAAACATTGCAGGATATGTTCTGTGTGGTGGTTTGAATGATAAATGTCCCCCAAAGCCCTGAGTGTTTCAATACCTGGCCCTAAGTTGGTGGGGCCATTTGAATAGGTTGGGAGTTATGGCCTTACTGAGGGAAGTGTATCACTTGAGGGGAGGGTGGCTTAAAAGTGTAAAAACTCACTTCTGCTTTCCTGTGTGTCCTCCCCCCCACCGTCTCCCACCCCCCCTCTCTTACACACACACACACACACACACACACACACACAGCTACTCTCCTGTGTGTCCTCCCCCTGTCTCCCACCCCCCTCTCTTACACACACACACACACACACACACACACACACACACACACACACACAGCTGCTCTCCTGTGTGTCCATTCTCCCGCTCTTCCACACACATGAACAGCTCCTCTTCAGTGGGCTCTGGTTCCCTCTGGCTTAGGTGCAACTTAAAATTCCCTGCTCAGAGATGTACCAACCCCTGAAGCCTAGAACCTCTTCGACTTTATACATGCTCAGAATACAACTTCAAAAGGAGCACAAAGCAGAGGAGTTTCACCCATCACCAAGTCAAAGCTTCTGCTCCGACCAAGCTTTCTCCCACGAATTCTGAAGAAAATACTAACAATACTAAGTATTTTCACCAAGTAGTGTGGGGATTGACAGAAGACTGCAAAAATCCAAGAAATTCGGTATGTTAACACCCTTAAGGGCTACACCCCTCAGTGAGTTTTTCTAAATCTCAGGCCATTTCACCATCATGGGACTCAACAACTAAGAGCTTTCTGCCAGTTGAAAATGCCAGGCGCGCGCGCGCACACACACACATACAAAACTCTCTTGGGAAAAGAGGACAGAAATGATTGCTATTTCTTCATCACTAAAGCTGTCCTGTTCTGGGTATTGCACAAGTAAGAGTGTGTATATGCATGGGGTTCTGTGTCCACACACACAAACACACAGTAAAGGCCAAGGCTCCAAATGCCAGCTGGTGCCAATCCTGTGCCAGAAATACAGCATTGGCACCATCTGGTGGTCATAAGAAGCTGCTGCACGTTAAATCCTTCCACGGTATTAAAGTCCTTACAACAGTAGATGTTTAGATCTTCTTTGACTGAAATCTTGTACCAGGTGCCAGAAAGCGAATAAACATGTAGCTGGAATGTCCTCTTTATTTTCAGAAAGGAAAATTCTAAATACTACAATCAGGAACTTTTGAGAATCTGGCACAAATAGTTAATTATGTCAATCTGTCTTGAACGTTACTCATTATCAGCTGAGCAACGGCTGCCTATAGGAGAGAGGGGTGTTGTTCCATCCTCTGTCACTGAAGAGTGGGGTCCAGCTAGGAAGAGTTCATACTTTCTTCCAGTGTTGGGCCATTTCCATCCTGGTTCTGTTGCTCGTTTCCCCGACCCAAGTCTAGGAAATGCTGAGAATTAACTATGGCAGGACACCCAGGACATGGCACAAATACTGAGAAAAGCCAGATTATGACAAAAGAAGGGCTATGCATTCTGATTTTTCAGTTGCCTTCTCCTTTTTATTCAGTATGGGACCCCAGCCCACACAATAGTCACTCACAGTTAGGGTATGTCTTCTCAGTTAATAAAAAAATTCCTTTATTCCTTCGCAGACACACCCAGTGTCTTGTCTCTCAGGTGAGTCTAGATGGGGTCACACTGGCGACTGATACTAACCACCACCCCATCTGCCCATCACCAGCACTGGATGACAGCCAAAAACTCAGGGGCCATGATAGTGCCCAACTTCTCTTTCAGATGACACCCACCAAACTCCCTACGCCAGTGTATCAGGACCACGGCTGGCAAGCATCTGCACACTCATTCATTCATAAAATTCCTCATTCACATTTTCAGATTCTCACCCCCTGACCTTTGCCCAGTTCTGACAGCACAAACCTGAGGGCAGGCTGATGCGGTGGCCATCTTTCAGCCTCAGCCGGCCCCTCCTGAACTTCCCCTTTCTCTTCTTCACGTGCGGAGCCTCCTGGTTCAGCTGGAAGATGAGGACATTCAGCTCCCGCTCCAGCACATCGATCTCACGCTCTGCGAGCTGCTGCTCACGGCGTCTGAGCAGCAGTTCCTGGGATTTCTGCTGCAGGGCGGCTCGACTCAGCTCCTCCTCCCGGGATCGCAGCTCCTGCAAAGTCAGGTCCCAAAGGAGATCAACATGGGCTTCCTGAACTGCTCCTGAAGCCCTTCACCGCAAGCTCACTGCATCCAAGATGACCTGAGCTGCCGGTTACTCAGTCTATTATTAACCTAGGGGAAACCCCCCCCCCCCAAAGCTGGTGCCTTCTCTTCTGTTAGTTCCTGACAGGGAAAGGCAATGCTCACTTTCACACCTGAGGTTATCACCACTGGATCTTTGCCTCTAGTCTTTTTGAGCGTCTAACACAGCTGTTCTCAACCTGTGGGTTGCAACCTCCACAGGGTTGACATCAGCTATCCTGTATATCAGATATTTACATTACGATTCATAACAGTAGCAAAATTACAGCTATGAAGTAACAACAAAATGATTTTATGGTATGGGGGAATCACAACAGGAGGAACTATTAAAGGGTCGCAGCATTAGGAAAGTTGAGAACCATTGAACTAACAAATAAATCATACATACATCAACATTCATCAACAAAGAACAGCTGTGAATGAACTAATTCATTCATTTATGTTTTGAGACCCAGTCTATGTAGCTCAGGCTGGCCTCAAGCTCACCAAGTTGCCCCAGATGACCTGGAATGTCTAATCCTCCTACCTCCACCTCTTGAGGGCTGTGAATAGAAGCGCGTGCTACCAGGCTCCTGTTTATGAGGTGCTGGCATGGAACTCAGGGTTTCAAGAATGCCAGGCAAGCCTTCTACCAAGTGAGTTACATCCCTAGTCCTGTGAATAACCCGTTTCCAAATACAGCCTACAGTTACAACTCAATGAGGTAAGCGGTGGTTCTCAGCCTTCCTAATGCTGCGACCCTTTAATACAGTTCCTCATGGTGTGGTGAACCCAGCCATAAAATTCTTTTCATTACTATATCATAACTGCAAATTTGCTACTATTATGAATTGTCCATGTAAATATTTGTGTTTCCTGATGGCCTTAGTAGACCCCTGGGAAAGGGTCTTTTGACACCCCCTCCCACAAGAGGTCACGACCCACAGATTGAGAACTCCTAAGTTAAAGGCTAATCCTTGTAGTTACATGTTACACATGACTATAGCTCATGATCCTTTAGGGGAAAATTGAGAATTTTAAAGCATCTCAATGTTTCTCTGGCATGTTCTCTTCTTTATAGAGAAAAGCATTTGGGGTGGTTGCGTCTGTCTATGTAGCTCTTGCTGCTGCGACACCCAGCAGACATCGGTGCGTGCAGTCCGACAGTCGCTACCCAGACACTCCGTCTCAGCAGAGCCTTGTGCCAAGCTCTAGGAGGGGCTGCAGAAGAATCTTGGGTAGGGCTGTGACCTTCCAGAACCTTGAGATAGGGATTCAAACACTCGTGGCTTTGTGTGATAGACCAGTTTACACAGCAACCACTCAAAGGGACTCATCCAACTAAGACACACTGTGAGGAGCCACAGCCAGCCAGAGACCACACAGTTCACATCTCCAAGCCTTTGGACTTTCTCTAGATGGGCTCAGGGGTCATTTGAGCCAATCTACACATATCAGAAAGAAAAGAGGAACACAGTAAACTGCTGTCCTAACAACAGGACAGAATGAAAGTGAGACCAAGAGTCCACATGACAGAGAAATGTATCCTTTGAAGCAAAGGGTCCTCGGGCTGTGGCAGCTCCACCAAGAGGACCAGAATTCAGTGCTGAGTGCTCTGATCTTGATTGGTTTCTCTAAGTAATTCACACAGACAGAGATACAGATGCGACTCGCCCTGACTCGCAGGCCTTTCAGCTGCCTGCCCCACCACATGCCAGCTGGCTCTGACGTACAGACGGGCCAGTATCTCCTCACTGGCACATGCCAGGAATAGCCTGCTGTTTATCACTGGAAAAGAAAAAGAAATGCTGTGTAATTTTGAAAAATCTGCAGATTTTTTTTTTTTTTAAGATAGGGACTCGCGTAGCCCTGTCTGGCCTTGAACTTCTGATTCTCCTGCCTCTGCTTCCTGTGTGCGAGGGTCACAGATGAGGGCGACCCATCCAGCTGCAAAGCAGTTCTGAGGCGAGTCCACACTGGAGATTGACTGCAGAGTACTTGAGGACAGGGGATGGTTTTGAACTCATCACATGCATCCCCCCTTCTCTGAGACTCCCAGGTTTTCAGTGGTGCTGGCCTCACGCTGCTGTTAACTGGGGTCAGCCATCCCTCATGCATCTTTCTAGATAAACTGAGTAAGTAAACACTTTTATTTCTAAGTCCCTATCAAAGGGGCTCACCCCTACAACAACTTCATCAACAACAACAACAACAACAACAACAACAACTAGACTTTGTAAGGCGTTAGGGGCCATGATTGGTGGAAAAGCAGTCAAACTATGCATCCTATTAAGTAGATTTTTAAAACTGGAAAAGCTGGCCTGGGGCCATGGCTCAGCTGGGAAAATGCTTGCCACACAAGCCCACAGACCTGAGTTCAATCCCCAGAACCCACATGTAAAAGCCAGGCCTGAGAACACACATTTCATTACAGACAGGAGGATCCCTGGGGCTGCTAGCAGGTCAGTCTGAACTGAGGAGTTCCAGGTTCCAGTGAGAGACCTTGCCTCAGGAAAGCAAGGTGGAGAAAGATTGAGGAAGACAACTGAGGTTGACCTCTTACCTACACACACACACACACACACACACACACACACACACACACACAAATAATAATAATAATAATAATAATAATAATAATAATAATAAATAATAAGCTTGAGAAGCATGTTGTAGAGTGGGAAAAAGACCTCTGGAGTGTTAGAACACACAGGAATACTCTGAAATCATGAAACACAAAAGCCTTCCTTCTGTCTATGTGGTTGCTAGCAGGAGCATTTGCCTCAAGGCTCAGTGGGGACTTTCTGGTAATGGTAAAACCATTTTCCTGCAAGAAAGGTTAATGGTTAATGAGGACAAGTACTCTTTGAGGGCCGGTGGTGCCAGGTGCACACAGAGGACCCAGAGACAGACAGCAGCGATAAGCAGCCGGAGTGTGGGGAGGATTCACCATCTACAGAGTCATGTGGACGAGAGCCAAGGGCTGAGCATTAACTGGAGTGTGAGGCCTCCTCCCCCAGCCAGTGGGCGGGAAAGGGAGATAGGGCATGTACAGAGGGTTTTCCACCCCTCGGGAAGATGAGATTAGAACCCTTAGAGCACAAAGAGAAACACTATTGCAGATTCTCTAATCACAGATCACAAGGCCACAGGGGCCACACGGAGGATCCATGAGTAAGAGTCAAATACAGAGACAAAGCAGACGCCAACGGGAAAAATCCAGAAGGATAATAAGAAAACGGCTGAGCATGGGTAGCGTGCCTGTGGTCCCAGCCCTCGGGAGGCTTAGGAGATGGACTGCAGTGAGTTCACAACCGGCCTAAACTACACAGTGAGTACAGAGCAGCCTAGGATACTAAACAAGACTCTGCCACAGTGGCAGGAAGAGGGAAAAAGAAGAAACTAAGTCTCCAGGCTGACGCCAGCACCCAGAGAAGGCTGTGACCATTCTGGAAGCGTTATTTTATTATTCTACTCGACAACATGAGAATCGCCCCATTCCTGTGCTCACATCCTGCAGTTTCAAAACTGGTTATCAGCAGTTAAACAAAACACTGCCAGAACGGTTATGCTGAATAATATCACTCTCAAACTTCAACTGTGTGATTTAAGGCCGTTTTCTCTCAAAATCTCCTGTCACTCCATAAAATCAGTTTAGTTGTGGGTTTAAACACCTCATTTCAGAATGCTTGAAAACAAATTGGACAAGTGTACAAAAAAATAAAACTCAAAATTTTCCTATCGTTTTAAGCCAACCAAGTGTGTAAATGTTTCCAGAACTCTACAGAACACCTTGCCAAAAGGCATCCCTCCAGAAGCAGTCGCCATGCCTTCCTCTTCCAGCAGGTTTCGTCTGTGTCCTGAGGCACATGCTTACATGGTACTTACTAAGCTGGAGGCCTGTGCTGGGCACCTCCTCACAGTTCACACTCTCTTCTGTGACACTCCGTGGGGAGTGACACTCCGTGGGGAGTGACACTCCGTGGGGAGTGACACAGGAACCAAGGCCACTCGGCAGCACCCAGCTGAGCCCAGAGGCAGCCAGCCTGTCTGAGCCAGAGCTCCAGGCACGCAGCGTATGACAGACAGGCACTCCTGGTCATTCTGCACAAGCACCAGGGAGGGAGGCTGGGCACCAGGCAGCAGAGTCCTCTGACCGGCAGAATCGTCCCTGAACTCAGTCTGGGGGACCAGGATGCTCGCACGAATCCCACTGTGGAACCCTTCGGATAGTAGGCAGGATGCTTGCTCCTCATCTGTCCTAGAGTCCTAGGGAGGGAAAATTCCTCCCTGGATATAACTTCAAGCTGACGAGTGACTTGAAATATTACGCTTGCTATGTTACGGGTGCACATGCACAGATGTGTATCATCACACGTATGACGGAAGAATTTAAACTATTAAACACGTACACTTATCAAACAACAACAGACCTGGATTCCTGAAAATGCTCACATACTACAAAGATGCTTTTAAAAGAGTAGGTGCCATCACCATGTCACAGAGCCATGTCTGACATCTGGCTTTGAAACCTGGTAGTGACATTTAATAGGTTCTGTCACCACCCCCACGGAGACCAGGCTTGCTCAATTCACAGCCCCAGCAGTCCGCCTCACACCAGCTCCCACAGCTCTCGGTGCACTGTGAGCGTGGTGAGGTCAATGCTCGGTGTGTGTCTAATTGCTGGCTTACTTTATTCCCTTCATAAAGTCTGTCGGCCGAGTACAGCAGAGCCCATACTGAAGAGTTCAAAATGCACACATTTTCCTAATATCCCCCACAAAGCAATAGCCTTGGAGATCAGAGAGGACATATTACAAGGATCAGCATCTGAAAAACTTGACAAGACATGGCCTAGAAGAACATGGACCAAGTATGGCTCTGATTTGCCAAAGCCAACTGTGAAATGACTCCCTTGGTCCATCTGCATTCGGAGCGAGCAGGAAATGACCTGACAGGGCACACCATGGTATGAGGGGCAGCATTGTTGTCGAGGGCTCAGCCATGCCCAACCCGAGCACCGTGGGTCACACGCAGCTGAGGACAGCTATGAACAGAGCCCGACCGGAAATAACAAACTTAAGACACTGTAAGTGGGTTTTGTGACTGGACTGCATAGAGCGGGAACTTTGTGAGGAAACTGTCAAAAGGTCAGGTGTGTCACAGGGCAATGGCAAGGAAATGACCTCTCAAAACTTTTGCCAGTAAAAGAAACACGGAAGGCTGGAGAAATTGCATTGTAGGTAAGCCGCTTACTGGGCGGGACCTGAGTTCAGTCCCCAGATCCCACAAAAAGCCAGACGCAGGGGCTCCTCCTAACTCTAATCCCAACACTCTCCCAGCAAGATGGGAGATAGAGACAGGAGAATCACCTGGGAGCTCGTGGGCCAGCTAGCTTGGGGTACCCTGCTTCAACAAGGTGGAAGGAGAAGGAAATTTCAAAAGTTCTCTCTGACCTTTACATCTGTGCCATGTACCATGCAAGCCCACACACACACACACACACACACACACACACACACACACAAA